GGGGCCGGAGGGGGTGATGGGGGGGGGGCCTGCAGGTCAGGAGTGAGGGGCACCATGAAAGGTCTAGGGCATGGCCTGAGGACTGCTGCCTGTCACTCACTCATCAGCGCAGTAGAGGGCCAGGACATGACCTGTTAGCCAGGAGGTGGGGCCTAGGGGCTGTGAGAGTGACCAGGGCACTGTCACTTACTTGGTGCAGAAGTAGAGGACCAGGGCAAGGCCATGGACAGGGCCTGGGGCTGTGGCCTGGTGGGGCCAAGGGCTGTCACCTACTCAGCGCAGTAGAGGGCCAGGACATGGCTATGGGCGGGACCTATGGCCTAGAAGTTAGAGCCTATGCACGTTGATGTGGTAAAGGATTATTACACGGCTATGGATGTGGCCTTGCGACTGTAGATGGGGCCTGTACCTAGGCAGCAGGTCTTGTCACTTGCTCAGCGCAGGAAAGAAACAGGGTGTGGCTATGGGTGGGGCCCCATCCATCACTCACTTGACACAGTAAAGGCAGACAAGGCCATGGACAGGGTCTAGCGGTGGGCAGGGCCAGGACTTGTCACTCACATGTCAGTGCAGTGCAGTGCAGTGCAGTGCAGTATGTGGTCAAGGTATGGCTCTGGGCGGGGCCTGGGAGCAGTGGGTAGGGCCGGGGGCAGAGCCTAGACCCATCACTCACTCCTCTGTTTGGTAGAGGGCCAGGGCGTGGCCGGTGAAGTCAACTACATCTGGGCCCAAATCAAAGTGGGCGTAGAGCCCACAGGAGGGGGTCAAGTCCCTCCAGGGTTGCGGGGTCATCCTCCTCACAGCCAGCCACGAACACCAGGAAGCACCACTTCTCAAACATGCCCATGAGGTCTGTCCCAGCCAGGGGGAGGAAGGGGCAGACATTCAACTGGGGGGGGCTTAACCCCCGCAGTATTGCAGCCAGGGCACTTGGGGAGGGGGCAGTGCCAGGATGGGATGTCCCAGGACGGGACATTAACCCCTGCAATTCCAGAATCTAAGGTAGCAGGGGAAGGAGCACTAACCCCTGCAGTACCACAAGAAATATATGTTGGGGGGTGCTGAGACCTGCCACACAACAGCTTACTTCAGAGAGCATTAGCTGTTAGCTCTGCCACACTGCAACCTATAAATGAGGATTGATAACCCTTGCAGTGCCACAGCCAATATAAGAAGACAGATCTCCCTGATAATGTGGACCTTGCCTGCCATGGCAGGTGCTTGGAGTGGGGCGGAAATCCCCAGTGCTCCCTGGAGGTGAAGGCCTCAGTCTGGGGGGAGTGGCCAGAGGTCGTATTAACCTCTTGCATGCTGGTGCCAGTCTTGGGGTGCCCCTGCGGGGTTCCTGCTGTTTACTGGAGGCAAGAGAGCCTTGGCCTTGGGGGTCCCATTAACCCTGGTGTACCAGGGCAGCAGGTACGGGCCTCAGTCTCAGTGGATGGCACCTTGTAGATCTTGCCACCCTTGTAAACAAAACTGCCATCGACCACCTTGAAATCGATATATCGTGTCACCTCTGTGTACAGCAGCATCTTTACCAGCTGGCCTGGAGGTTGAGGGGTGGGTGGACAGATGGCGATGGGGGAACGACAGATAGACATACAGCCTGATTTCAGGACCCCTCTCCACATCTTTTGGATTTGGGGACCTGCTTACCCCCTCCACTGTTTTGGGAGCAAGCCCCCCAGAACTCTGAGAAACCTGCTCAGTTCCCCCCCCAGTTTTGGGATCCTCCACCCTGATACTGGAGTCCCGCACTCACCATTGGCCATGAGAAACTTGGGAATAAGGTCGACATTCCAGTCCCGGCCATGCCCAATTGACTCGGGGGGTCCCTCAGGGACCCCAAATTGCTTACACAGCTGGAGAGGAAGAGGAAGCAGTCAGCACCCACCCTGCTGGCCACATCCCTCCCACAACCAGCCACCTCCCACCCAAAACTCCCCATCTGCCCAAAAGCAGCCCCCCAAGTCAGTCCAACCCCAACAGCCCCTGGATCCCAACTTCTTTCCTCCCGGGGCTCAAGCCACCCACAATCTCTACCTTCCCCCATTGTGCACCCTTTCCTCCCCATGCTCCAGCCAATGGTGGGGCCCCAACTCCAGGCCTGAGGGTTTGGAAGGTCCTGTTACCTCCTCAAGAGGGGTGATGGAGCTGCTCTCGCCCCTATAGTATGGGTTCCGGTCCATGTGCAGAACCTTCTTCCCATTCACCGACAGGATCCCCTAGAGAATGCATTCCTAGGGTGGGGGGTAGAGTTTAGGGGGGCCCTCACCCCACCCTATACCAGAAAGTTTGGGGGGGGAGGGCAGAACTGAGGCCTTAATGGGGGGAAGCCACTGGGCAGGGACAAGGACCCCCATCCTGAGTGGCTTGTGGAGGGGAAGGGCTGAGTTTGGGGGTGCAACAGGAAGCCCAGCTTGGGGGAGAGGCAGCGATGGGAGGGCAATTGGGGGTGTCCCCACAAGTGCATTATGGGGGGTTATCAAGAGATCGAGGAGCAGCTCTAGCGATGGGGGTGAGCTGCCTTCAGGGGACTGTGTTGCTTGGATGCAAGGATGTTTCACGGTGCCTCAGGCTGGGGGCTATAAATTCTGGGGGGGCTGGAGCTGGGGTTTAGGCCGGGGGCTGCTGATAGGAAAGGGGCGCACTACAGGGTTGGGGGCTAGTGCATGTGGGGGCGCCTCATGCATGGGAAAGGAGCTGCATTGCAACACGGGGTGACTGTGCATGCTGGGGGTGGGGGGGCTGCACTGGTGCAGGAGACGGCATCCCGGGCCTCACCGTCAGGCCGGTGCCCAGCACGATCACGTCGTAGGCCTCGCCCATGGCACCCAATTCTAATCACCACCCCTCCCATAGAAACAGGTTCTGGCTCAACTACTGTGCGCAGCACCCCCAAGGATTCCTCCGCCACCGAAGGGGAGCGTAGGTACAAGTGTCAGCACGAATCGCTCCACCACTGGAAAGCGAGGGAGAATCAACTCCCTGCTGCGGATTCTTCCGCCAATGGGGAGGAGAAAGTTAGTGTCCAGAAAAACCTCTCTGCTGAAAAAAAAAAAAAAAGTAGGCCACCAGTCCTGTGTCCCGTTCTACCCCACCCCACAATCGCCTCCACTGTAGAGGGGGTTGAACAATAACTCCATCCAAGCATAGGTATCGCTCCGCCCATTAATAGAACCCCTCAGCCAAGGGCCGGTGCGTCTCTCACTGCCTCAGGGTGGGCGATCGATATTTTTCCTCTTGCTGAGTCCACCACACCTGAAGGTGGGACCCATAGTTGCAGTATCCTTCCGCCGCACAAAATAGTGCCATGTCACCTAGAGCTCCAGCTCAAGAGAAGTGAAATTACATGGCATCCATCCAACCGGCGGAAGAGTTCTGACTCGCCCCCAGCCGGGTTCATTTGCATCTTGCTGCCGGGAAGGAGTGGAAACTAAGTCCCGGCACCAAAGTCCCCTATTTGGTGGGCTCCGACCCCCTCCACGGCACCAAGGCAATATCGCAGCTCTCCACAACCATGAGCAGCATGACCCTTCCACCAGATAAATTAGGCCCAAGACCCGCTACTGGGAGGTTGCACTCCCCCTACCCGCAAAAAAACAGGCAGAAGCAAGACTACAACCAGACCCCATTTATTAGGGTGCCTCCCCCACACACACAGGGAAATGGGGTGGGGACCCCCAAACAGAGACAAGGATGCAATAAATAACTGGGAAGGGGCAGGTCTGAGGGTGACCTGAGGAGAGGGGCCCCCCCTAGCAGCTGGATCAAGGGCAGATTACAGATGAGGGGGGTCTAGCCCCCCAGAGCAGAAGGGATGGTGTAGGGGTTGGGGTGACCACCCTGTCCCCCTATCACTTAAGGAGGAAGAAGCCTGTGGCTGGAAGAGGTAGGACACCTAGGTTCCTTACAGGGCTCATAGGTGCCCAGAGGTGGGAAGGACAGCAACAGGCCCAGGACACAGTTGGAAGGGCAGGGGCAGAGGGTGTAGGATCACTGAGGAAGAAAGGGGTCAAGGCCCCACCTGGAACAACAGTAAGGAGCTGGGGTGGGGAGGGGTTTGAGGGACCCCAGGATTAGGATGCAGCAGAGAGCAAGGACCCCAGAAGAAAGCTATGGTTGCTGGGAGGGGGGGGAGAAAAAAAAAACGACATGGACAACAACACAGGACACAAGGACAGACCCAAACCTGGGCTGAAGGATGGCAGAGACCCCAGTGCTGGGCCAGGGGTGTTTGAGGGGAGCAAGGCCAGGCTAGGGTTACTGAAGGGGGAAAAAAAAAAAAATCAGGGATCCCAGAGCTGGACTGAAGGGCAATAGCAACCCCACTGTTAAAGTGATGGTTGCTGGGGGGAGGGGTGATAGGAACCCCAGGCCCAGGCAGGGAATACTGGGAGGGTATCAGGAATGCTAAAGCCAGACTAGGGCTGCTGAGGAAGAAGTTTATCGGGGACTGCACCTGAAGGGGAAAAGGAACCCCTGACTGCTAAGCTGGGGGGAGGGCATGTAGGGACCCCAGGCCCAAACTGGGAGCAGCTGGAGGGTAATCAGGGACCCCGGAGCTGAGCTCAAGGGGTTCAGGAACCCCAGTGCTGAGAGGCAGGAACCAGATACTCCAGGACAGAGCAGCAAAGGGGCACAGATCCCAGAGCAAGATGAAGAAGGGCTGGGGTGTTAGGAAGACGATCAGGGACCCCAAGCTAAGGAGAGCTCAGGGACCCCAGTGCCAGGCTACAAGTACTTTGGCACAGGAGAAGGGGGGAGGGGGAGTCAGGGAACCCAGGGCAGGGTTGGATGGGTACAGCAGACTCCTACTCAGTCTGGGGCACAGCAATAGAGGGCCCCTTGGGGTCATCAAAGCGGTCCATGGCACGCAGGCCCAGTAGCATATGCAGCCCATAGGCCAGGACAGCAGCCAGGAGAGCACCTGGGAGCAGCCCCATCCATACAGGTGCAGAGAAGAACCCAGCACAGTCACTGGCGTAGGAGAAGCGCCGCCCTGTCACATTGAACGCCTGTAGCTGGAGAAGGGAACAGGGAATAGAGGGGTAAAGCCACAGAACCCGGATGTCCAGGCTCCCAGAACCCACCAGAGCCCATAGAAAACCCAGTTATCTGGGGCCTTAACTACCACCACTCTGACCCACAAGAGAATCCAGGCATCCAGACACCCCACTGCTAACCCACAGCCCCCCCCCGCCCTCAGAGAACCCTGGCATCTGGGTTCCCAGATAACTCTCCCCAGTGCCTGCTCTCACCCCACCCAGAAACAGGCATCCAAGCACCCAGCAACCTGCTGTCACCCCCAAGCCCTCTCCCTTCCCAGAGAACCCAACTGCCTGGGCTCTCACCCCCAGGCCACACTCCCCACCCAGAGAACCCAGGCTCCCCCCAGCCGTCTGAGAACCCAGGCATCTGGGCACCTGGATGTCATGCAGCAGCAGCTGCCAGTGGGCAGCAGCTGGGTCGGGACGGGTGCGGGGTGTGAGCAGCCCCATGGTGCCCAGGAGGCCACAGCGCCAGGAGTAAAGGGCTGGGACTGAGACCCCCGAGGCATTGAAGGTGACTGGTGCCGCTGCCCCGCCCTCCACCATCTCCACCCACTCCAGTGACGACCAGTTCCGGCCGGACACCGGGAACCATTTGTTGGTCATGTGAGCAGTGCCCTTCACTCCTGACTCGCCCCTCCACACCCCCATGCCCCCTCCCCCCACCGCCTCCCCCTAAAACCAGGCCAAGGAAGTGCTCCCCAGCTGCCTCAATACTCACGTGATGGTCAGAGAACTATTGAAAACCTCCTTATAGCTCAGCACCAGCCTGGGGGGGGCGTAAATGGAAAAGGGAGAGTAAAGACACCATCTCAGAGGAAGGGCTGGATGTTGCCCCTCACTCCTGACCTGCAGCCCCCCCCCCCGGATATCCCTCACCTGGCCTCAGTGGGGCCCCAACTGGATCTTGACAGGTTGACAGTGGCATGGGAGCCAAAGGTGGCATCCGTCAGGTCCCGCCAAACCCCATCTCGCGCCACTGACAGGTTCCGGGCCCAGAACAGCAGGAGGGGGAAGGCGCCAGATGGGAACTGCAGGGGGGGGTACACCGGCTCCGGCCCCGTCTCCAGCAGCTGCCGCCCCAGGGGCCCAGGGACTGTGCCCAACACTTCCCGCAGCACCTGTGGGAGGCAGCAGGCAGAGCTGGATGCCTGGGTTCTCTCCCAGCACTCGTGCTGAGGATGGGGACAGCAGTCAGAAGTGAGGACCCAGATGACCTGGCTCTCTTTCTCCCAGCAGTTTGTAGGGGCAGGGCTCAGAAGTGTGGGGGTAGCACTCCTCGGTTGTTTCCCAGAACTCAGCGAGAGGAAGACACCCACATGCTTTGGGAGCCCACACACCTGAGTTCTCTCCCACTCTTGGCAGGGGTGATGCTGGCACCCCAGATGCCTGGGTTATCACCCCTTTGTGCAAGAAGAGGGACCCTGGGACATGCCATGCAATGGTGAGGACTGAATCTGGGGAGGGTACATACCCGTGAGGGGCGTGGGGCTGTCAGCAGGGCCATGTAGGGCACATCCTCTTCCTTCAGGGCACTGAGCACCTGTCCGATCACCTCATCTAAGGCGGCAGAGCTGTGAAAGGGAGGAAATCCCTAGCCCCCCCTACTCCTCCAAACACCCCAGCTGCTCCCAGAATCCCCTCAGCTCCCCTGTCCTACCCCAAGGCTGGAGGAGTACGGACTCACCATTGCCTGTCAGCACCTCCTTGGGGGCCATAAGGCTGGACCTGAGGGGAGTACAGTGCAGAGGATCAGCAACTCCCTCCAGCCTCACACAAACCCTGACTGCTGTGGTGAGGTGAGGGGGTCAGTGTTCTCCTGGGGGGCGAGACCCAGAAAACGGGAGGTGGCACATGGGGAGGTCAGCACCTCCCCAGGGACAAAGGGCAGCCAAAGGAGAAACAGGACAGGGCTGGGAGGTATAGGCCAGCCAGAAGATCCAAGTGGTGCAAACTAGCTGAAGAGAGGCCCTGGGGCACTGTGACGGAGCTACGGAGATATTATAGGTGGGAGGGATGACAGACTGGCTTTGGGGGTAGATGGAGGGGGTGTTGGAAGCACATACTGGCTGTGGGGAGACTGCATGGCTTCAGGCTGGCCATAGGAGGGGTGGATCATGAGAGCACAGGTTTGTGGTGGGGTCTATGGAGCTGAGGTTGGTTGCAATGCTGTGGGGAACATCTAAGGGGCCTGGGAGAGATGTAGAAGTACAAACTGACTTGAGTAAAGTGTGGGCAACGTGTGCGGAGTCCTGGGTAGGGGAGGGCCCACAAGCTGGCTGAGCACTCAGGGGTGTGTGCGTGTCTGCGCGCATGTGTGGCAGGGGAGGCGAAGCCTGGGGGTGGATTTCTGATAGGTTAAGAAAGATTACATTGATGGGGTGGGGGGTGCAGAAACTGACTGCGAAGATCTGGGTTGGTTCAAGCTGGCCATGGGGGGACTCCAGTAGATCCGAGGGGGGCCCTTTGGCTGGCTGTAGAGTACATACCCAGTAGCATAAGGCAGGCGCACGAGCAGCAGGGCAGGGACACTGGCATTAAGACGCAGCTGGCGCAGGGTCGGGGGGTCGACGTGAAGGGGCCCGGCCCCTAGGTGCTCCCGCAGCAGCAACGGCACTGCCCCCGCAGCTTCCCCTGCCACCGCTGGCAGCACGAGCGCTGAGCCTGCATCTGACAGCGCCCCCTGGAGAGGAGATGGAGAGGGAAGGGGGGGCAGGGACCCCAATCTCACTCCAACAGCCTCTCACTCCCAACCCATGGGACCCCCATATCCCCATGGTGTCCCTCACTCCTGACCCAAAGGCCCCGCCTACTCCTTTACCTCCAAGTTGGGGAAGGCACTGTCTGGTTTGTTGCCGTAGACTCCTCCATAGGCCGTAAAGTCCTCCACGCTCAGCTGTGGGGTACAGGAAGGAAGTGAATTGAGGGGCTCCCTTACACACAACTCCCTCATGGAGAGAATGACTTGTGGGGGGGGATGAGTAAGTGAGGGTAAGGGGCAGGGTAAGGGGGAGAGGCAGGGTCACAGGGAGGAGAGACTGTCACGGTCACGGGTCATATGACCAGACAAGCAATGGGGGAAGGGGAGCAGACTAGACTCCCTTCCTCTTTTAAGGATGAGGCAGATACGCCCAACGCCACAACCCTCCGCCTGCCCCCACCGGGAAACTGGGGCCACCTTAGACCCCACAAAGGCAAGGAGGGGGGCTGCTGGGGGGGAAAAGAGGTAACCCTAGGAGAGGCTGTGCTGGAAAGGGGGCTGGGAGAGCTCAGAGAGCTGTGGGGTAGGGCCAGGCAGAAACAACCTGAGCAGGGTGCAGGGCCCTGCCCCCGATGCAAGAAAGTCAGTAGCTGGGGGGGGGCACCACGCGCGCAGGGCAGCAAGCAGCTGGACACGCTGGATTCGGCAGCCAAGGGGGGATGCTGGGTAGCCAGATGTGAAGCAAGCAGCAGCACAGATGTGCCACACCACTCCACCCGGCTCCACAGGGCCCCCCACATCGTGCGGCCCAGGGCAATCGCCCCAATTTTCTCCCCGCCAAGGACAGGACAGCAGGGGTCTGAGAGGATCCCCAGGGGTTTGGGGGGGTTCCAGAGAGACATGGGGGAGCCCACCTTTTCCTGCAGGAAGAGTAGGACATTGTGAGGCCCCTGGTCCAAGGCAGGACCCAACAAGGCCTGTAGCTGTGGCTCAGTCACCACATGGCCCTCGGAGCCAATAGTCGCAGGGGGCCACAGTTTACTGCGGGGGAGAGCAGTTAAGGAGGCAGTTGGGGCTTTAATCCCTTCATACCTGCAACCTCAGCCTCATCACAGACCCCCTCAGCACCTCCTCTCCTCCCCGGCCCCTCCCAGACCTCAGGTACGCCCACAACACCCTCGCAGCCCCCACTTCTCCTGGCCCCCAGCTACCTCCTACCCTGCGGATCAACCCTTTTCTACTCCCTCCCTCTCCCCCCTCACGGCCTTACTACCTCCAGCTCAACCCTTTCCTACCCCCACGCCCAAGCCACCCCGAACCTGCGGCTGGACCAGGCCAGGAGCGGGACCTGGTCAGCCCGCGCCGCCCCGGGCGCCAGCACCGCCAGCAACAGAACCAGAGCCGCCGCCATCCTAAAGCGCAGTCCCTGCCAGCGTCCGGCCACCGGTCTTCGTATGATCACGGCTGCCAATTAGAGCGTGGGACCCGCCCCTTTCCGCGCCAATGACCAATGGAAACACAGCACCCGCCTCCCTGAGCCGCCGACCAATGGGAAAGAAGGAGCCAATGGGAAGGCTCTGGGCAGCCAAAAGGGAGAGGGCTATGGGAGCCTATAGGACTGCGAGACGCGCAGCAGTTGGCCAATGTGAGGTCGAACGGCGATATAACCTGCCACCCAACCGCAGGTGGGGCGGGTGGCGGAGGGAGGCCGCGCTCAGACCGGGGGGATGCCAGCTGGTCAATCATAGCCCGGCGGGCGACTAACGTCCCGCCCGCGCCCCGAAGGAATGAAGATGGGAGCCGGCTAATGAGAACGAAGGCATGCGATGCGGACCATTAGCCACTGGCAGAATAGGACGCAGGACAGACTGAGCCAATAGGAGACAGGGCCTCGCTTCCACCAGCCAATGATGAAGCATCTTGCAAACAGCGTGGATGTCCCAAAGCTCCACCCCCTGCAGAGCCCTCCTTCCCCCTTAGGGCCGCCCCGCCCCTCCTTGAGTACCCGCCCCTGAGGCTTCGCTCTCATCAGTCCCCCGCCTGGCGTCCTAAGGCCCCGGCCCCTGGGTCCCGGAGCTCCGCCCACAGTAGGGCCTCTCCTCTTTAACCTCAACCTATAAGCCGAGTCCCTGCGCCTTCCAGGACACAGCCTTCAAAATTCCCAACCCAGGGGCCGAGTCAATGTGGGCAGAGACCTACCCTCCCCGCCCCAATCCTGTTCAGCCCTGCTCTCTCCCCCCACACCCCAACCCAAGCTCTAACCCCAGCCCCTTCCCTGCCTCCAGTCTCACAGGGGGGTAGGGTGGGGGGGAAAGCTTTTTCTTTTATTGGAAAAATTCACATTATAAAAACAAAAGGAGACGGAGCTTGGAGTGGGCTGCAGTCCTCAGACCCTACAGGAAGCTGGGGGACAGCACAGAAGTCCGTTCCCTACTTTAGGGGGGCTTCAACCTTATTGAGAGGGACAAGTTTTGGGGGAGGGAAATACACCCCCATTACCCAGAATACTTTGCAAACACTGTAGGGAGGACAGTGATCAGAGCCCCCAGGGTACCCAAGTTTAAGGTATTTGTCCTGATTAAAAGGGGAAGCGGTCCAGAATGCAGGGGGTTAGGAGTCCTGTTCTAGGGGAGGGGAGAAGTATTCCATCCTTTGGGCTAGGGGCACAGTCCCCACAAACCATCAGGACCTCCCTGCAGTAATTAAATAGGGGAAAGGAGGGATTTTCCCACCATCCCTTGTAACAGCAGCATGGGGGGCTCCTATCACCCCTTGCAGCAGCCTCCCAGGGGAAAACTTCCCATCATCCCTCAGGGTACAGCAGATGGAAGCAGCACAGGATTCTCCTATTATGCCCCCGGGCAGCTTGCTCCCTCTGCTAGAACCTAGCTGGCTCCATGGGGGAAACTGGGCAGGTCTGATGTAGGAGTGCCCCCCACCCCCTCTGCACTACCAGGGGGGTTGCAGGGCCTGGTGTAGGTGTTCAGCCTGGCTCTTCAGGCTCCGGATCTCATCCTGGATGTAGTCAGTCAGTGCCTTGCGCATCTCCACCTGGGGGAGGCAGGGGGTGGTCAGAACCTAGCTGTGCCCAGCATTCCCTGAGACACCCCCCAGGGAACTGAGTCCATCCCGTTCCCCCCTCCCCACAAGCAAGGCTGCAGCCACCATTCTGGGGCTCAGAGGGCCTCCCCACCACAAATTCACTCACCGCTGACTTGTTCTGGGTCCGGAGGGTCTCCAGGATGGGCCGGACACTGAATGGCTGCCCGATAAGAACAGTGATCCGCTGGGGAGGGGCAGCATGCGCACACAGGGGGGCAGTGAGGGCAGTGCTCCCACCCCCTTGAGCCTGGTCCGTCCAGAGAACTCAGGTGTTGGGGTTCCCAGGCCCCCTGCTCTGACCCATCAGCCCCTACCTCTCTCCCAGAGAACCCTGCCGTCTGTGTTCCCAGCGCCGCTAGCTCTCACACCCTAGAGAACCCAGGTGTCCAAGCCCAGCACTCACCTGCCCAATGCGGGGCATGTAGGGGGGGGTGTTGGGCAGCACATCACTCATCCCTACCCAGAAATGAAGGGGTTAAAAGGTGCCCCCTAGGTCCCCATGAGGTCCTGGGGTGTGAGGGGAGCCAGATGCCACCCCCCAACTCACCTACATGCCACAGTGGCAGGATAATAGGGTGCAGGCGGCACTCTGCCAGCAGGCGCCCAATCCCTGCAGGGATCTGATGTCAGAGGTCAGGGTGCCCAGCCCTTGGCTGCCCTCCACCCACCCTAGTCCCTGCACTTACCCCACTTGAAGCGCATGAACTCATGACTCATGTTCACCTTCCCTATGGAGAGGGGGAGGTAGGTTGAGGGGGACTGAAGGGCCCCCAATCTGCTGCCCCCCAGAACCAGTTCTTAGGGGTATCCCCCTTCTCTCTCCAGCCACCCCATCCAGCCCCATGCACCACCCCCCCACTACCCCCAGCCCTCCCACACCCTCCTACAGGGAGCACCCTAACTTTCCACCTCCCAGGGCAGGTCCCTGACTGCACCTCCAGCACCCCAGCCCCTTGCCCCCTCGAATTCCCCCTAGACCCTTATTACCCTCAGGGAAGATGTGGACCCAATCTCCCCGATTCAGCTTCTCCAAGATGAAGTCCATACCCCGCTGGTACACACCATCACCTACAGGAGGAGCAGTCATGGAATTGGGGGGG